TCACAAAAAGCTGCCCAGGTTCAAAGTCCCCCAGTCTCAGTGGGAGAACACCCAAAACTCATTGCTGACTCAAAGAAGAGCAGCTGTAGTGGAGTGGTAGGGGCCAAAATCAGGCCACAGTGGATGAAGATGAGGATGGAAAACTTGACCAAAGTGCCTAAAATACCTGAATCAATGAGAAGATGTAGTATGTTTCAGAATTAAAAGATTGTCTTATAAAGATAGAATTCTCCCCAGATTAACCAGTCCATTTAATGCAGTCTCAACTCAAATCATGACATAGATCTTTATAGGACTTGAGGAGCTCATCTTGAGATCATCTAGAGAAGAAAATCTGCAATTATGACAAAGAAGTATTTGAAAAGAGGTGGTGGAGGGGAGAAGGCTTGCACTACCAGCTCTCAAAATACAACACAGACTATAGTAATGAAAAGAGTGTGATGCTGGCACAGTAACAAACAGATCAATGGAACAAAACAGAATGTCTAGTACAGTAGTACAGCCCCATGTATATGTGAAAATATAATACACACTAAATAAGGCATTGCACATCAATGAGGAAAGCTATGCTGGTCAATTGAGACAATTCTCAAATTGAGGGAAGAAAACCACAATACTGTCGGATTTGTACTTCTTATATCCAAACATAAATTCCAGATGGAATCATGAGCTATAAACACACATGCACTCACACAAAATAATCTAAAACTCTATAAGAAAATATGGGATAGTATTTCCTTTTCAAGTAAGTCACAAATCCTAGAAATTATAAAATAGTACCTTGATAGATTTTTTTGATTACATAAAAAAATTTAAGTCTCTGAAATTAAAAACAAAGCTAAAAGGGAGAAAATATTTGTGGTACATAAATACATGCCATATGTCAAACTGATAATGGAGGAATATGCAAAATATATAAAGATCTCTTCTTTAAAATCAAGAAGAAAAAGACAAACAATCCCATAGGAAAATGGGCCAAGGAAAGGAACAGGTACTCACTAGAGGGGAAGGGGGAGAGAGGGATAAATTAGGTGTTTGGGATTAACAGATACACAGTGCTATATATAAAATAAACAACAAGGACCTACTGTATAGCACAGGGAACTATATTCAATACCTTGTAATAAACTATAATGAAAAAGAATCTGAAAAGAATATATATATATATGCGTAACTGAATCACTTTATGCCTGAAACTAACACAACATTATAAATCAACTATATTTCAATAAAATTTTTTAAAGGAATAGGTATTCAGAAATGGAAAAAAATAAAAGGCAAGTGAAACATATAAAACATATCCAATCTTTACTAGCAATCAGATGAGCACAAATAAAAGAATGGGAGGCCAATTTTCACCCATCAAGTTGACAAAATTTGAAAACATTGATTAGATCCAGTGTTGATGAGGTTGTGGAAACAGTGAATTTCATACCCTGTTAGTAGGAGTGTGAACTGGTACAGATTTTCTTGGAGGGCAATTCAGCAGAATCTACTAAAGTGAAAAATGGAAATAGGAAAGGGAACTAACCGAGGGCAAGTGAAAGGATTGCCAGGCAGCATCAAGAGGCCCGCCGAGGTTGGACACCATGCATCTGGAGTGGCCCCAACCCACAGAGTTGTGACATTTTCTCCTATGGAGAAGACAGATGATTCAAATGCCCTAGGGTTCACTTAGTCATTCGACAAATATTTCCGAGTGCCAGGCAGTGTTCTGGGCTCTGGGATACAGCAGTAAACAAAGTAAACAGGGTCCCTGCTCTCATGGAGCTTGCATACTAGTGAGAGAGATGGACAAAAATAAGCAAATATATAATATAACATCAGGTAAATACTCTGAAGATAAATAAAGCAGAATAAGGGGATAAAGAATGACAGGGATGCTATTTAAATAATGAAATTAGGGAAGGCCTCTCTGCAGAGGTGACATTTGAACAGAAGTCTGAATAAAGTGGAGTAAGCCTTGTTCATATCTGGAAAAAGAGCATTCCTAGTAGTGGGAACAGAGTGTGCAAAGGCCCTGGGGTGGAAGCACCATTTACTTGAGGATGGAGATTGGCAAGATGGAGGTACTGGAAGGACAAAGGGACAGGAGAGTTAAATGTGCTAGTAAAAGGAAGGTTGGAGTGATGGTTTACGCCATTTGAATCAAACAGAGAGGGAAGAGAGATCAGGGGATGCCAATAAATGGAGAGGAAGAGCATAGGGTAAGTGACAGGACATTTGGATGAGGTCAAAAAACAGGTGTAATAGGAGTGAGTGAGGGAGGACTATTGCCAGAAGGATAAGAGGTTTGAGGTTACATCCTCAGGATCTTGGGACATCCCCAGGGTGTTTTTCACAATTCTCAGAGCACCCTTGGATCTCTGACTTTCCTGCTGCCACAAGCTGCTCCAGGCCATGGTGCCACCTGCCCGTGCTCCCTCGGGCTGCCTTTGGTCATCGCCACCAAAATGCTCCTGGACCCGCCCCATGACCACTGCCAGTGGTGCCATTTCTGCGCCTCTCCTGCCAGCGTTCACCCTGCTGTCACTTCCCAAGGCAGCCAAGATGTCCTGTGCGGCTCGGGCCCACTGGCTCTCACCTCACTCTCAGGCCGTCCTCGGCTTCCACTCTTCCAGAGGGTCCCACAGGAGGACTACTTGTGGCCCTGGTGCTAGAGCTCCTGATGTGCTAGTCGTTTACATGCATTTTCTCAGTCACAACATGAAATGGGCTGTAATCCTGATGGGAACAGTGACTCACGACTTCTATTGTCACCAAGCGGGAGAAAATGCAAGTTGGGCAGGCACATTCTGAGGGAAGTTAGGCGGTCATGGGTGCCCAGAGTGGGCAGACCTAGGTCAGAAGGCAGGGTGGCAAGCCTAAGGTGGGATCGGGGTGCCAAAAAAGAGGCGTGGACAAGGGGGACCCTGAAGAACAACTTCTCCAATTTCAGAATTTGGCTTTTTGGCTGGCCTTGCAGAAATGGGCTGCCTGTGCAAGGCTCCAGTGAGCTCTGGTTCTTCCAAACGACATTGATACAAGAACTCTTGGCCATTCACCCTACCTGAGGCCATTCACTGAATCACTCCTTCCCACGTCAGGTGTGTTGCCAACCTGGGTTCAAGTCCCCCAGACTGATGAGTAAAGACATTGGTTTCGAGATAAGGGAGCAGTTGGGCATTAAGGGAGGTGAGATCATTATCACCACCAGGACAGGGACCCGGGGACAGAACCAGAGGGCTGAGTCCTGTGTACAGCCTCGGTCGTCTCTGAGACCATCCCCGGGCAGAGTCCAGCAGATGGGGGAGGGACGTCTGCTCAGGTTATTTTTTCCAGGGTTGACACTTCAGCCTAGCTGATCTTTGCTAAAACATTAACTGCCATTTCAGCAGTGTTGAATGCCAGGGGCAGAATGAACCAGGTACTGATGAGAATGGCTTGCGTTCTAGTTATATATTTGACAAACACTTATACAGCATTTACTCCTGATGGCCAACACGTTCTGAGAGCGTCAGAAACATTAATCCATTTGATCCCTATCCCACTCTTAAAAAGTCAATACACTTTCTGACCCATTTCCCAGCCGAGGCAACTGTGGGCTCAGACAAGTAACATTTGCCCAAGAACATGCAGCTGGCAGGGGGCAAAGCTGGGACTGAAGCCCTGGCAGTCTGGCTCCTAGGTCACTGGTCAAGGCAGGACTGTCTGTCCTCGAAGGCTGCCTTTGGGGTCCCTTCCCTGTGTGATCCCATCGAGTCTACCTGCTTGCCATTTGGGGTGGCTAATACAGGGCCTGGGGCAGGGAAAGGCCTTTGAGGGGGCATTTCCCCGGTCCTGTGGTCTCTGGGGATCACTTCACTCCCAGCTGTGGAATGGGGCGGGCGGTAGGGGAACAAGGAACAGACTGCGGGAGGCTCAGCGGTCCTAGAACCACACGGGGTCTCCCAGGCCTTGTCCCCAGTCTGTCCTCTGAGGCTGAGGCTTATTCCTGAAGGTCAAGTTCCCTGAACCTCCTCACTCATTTAGACTCCTTTCCTTCAGAGAGTCCCACAAAGGCCCCCTTTCCCTCTTCGAAATGATTTATTTTATATTTGGATGGATAATTTGAAAGCTGCCTTAGACTTATAGATATGAGTAGAGTACAAATACATTAAAAATAAGATCAAAAGGAATGGGAAGTTTGCCTCTGGGGCCCTCCAGGCTAGGTTGAGCCTGGGTCTGTCCACTGGGTCTGTTTGTCTCTTGAAGTATCCCTTTCCGGTGAAGGGGTCTAGAAAGCATTTACCAGGAGCTGCTTTGGTGCTGGTGCCTCAAGCTGCCCTCTGCTGCTGTTGATGGAGACAGGGATGGCCTCAGTTTCCCCACTTCCCCTGTCAGGAGTCATGCTGGTTGAGTCACCAACACCGAGGGGGAACAAAGACCTGTTCTAGAAGCCATGGCAGAAAGGGCATGTCCAGTTAACCAGATTTGTCTTCTGAGAGCCCCCAAACTCCCCTCCCCTTTCTGGGTCTTCTTCCCTCTTCCGTGTCATCCCCTGGTCCCTCCAAGTAGGCCTTTGGGCCTTTGTTCCTTCAGGTGTGAATGGCACGAGCAGCGGAATGAAACATCACCGTCCCCACCATCCCCGGAGAAGGGCAGGCGTCCTTTCTGCTAGGGGCTGCTGGCGCTTTACAGAGGGGACTCTCCTAAGGGGACTCAGGCTCAGTTCAAGAAAGTCACTCTCCAGCTGGAACTAACTTCCCTGAGGGGTGCAGTGGGGCTTCACAGGCACTGAGGACAGAGGACGCTGGTTTTTCCTGAGACAGGCCAGCTTGAAGAGGGAGGAGGGATAAACATCTATCTCTAAGCAAAAGTGGGGCTGGAGCCAGAGCCCTGGGTAGGGGAGCTAATGGGAAACAGCTTGTGGAGGGAGGAGGACAGAATTCGGGAATGACCGCTGGCTGCTAACGAGGGGGCTGGGAGAAGCAGGCTGATTGGGACCAGCTGCTGATCTGCTGTCTTGGAGATCTTTGGACTCTGCCCGGGGCGGGCTCACACCCTATTCCGGGTGCCTGAGAGCCAGCAGAGGCTGCCTGGGGCAGTCTTTCTCCACCCAGGCTGACTCCTGGAACCCTCAGAAACGAAAGACCAGAGGAGGACTCTCTATCCACCAGCTGGACGTCTCCTCCCCACCACCAGCCCCCACCCCCTGGCTGCTCCTGACCCAGAAAGGCCTGGAGGAAGAGGCCAGGGAAACCGCCCTGCCCACTCTCCCCTGACCCTCCATCCACCCAGCACCGGCAACTGAAGACCCCATGGCCCGGGCTCTCTGGGGCTGCTCCCCCTGGCTTGTCCTCCTCTGTGGTATGTGCATCCCCGTCTCTCTCTCTCCCACGCTGTGAGGGCAGGTCCAGCTGGAGAGCAGCTCCAGCCTCTCCGCTGTGGGCTCAGAAAGGGTTGGAGTGAAGGCTGGGCCCAGGATGTCTCTTTTTCTCTTGGTCCTCCTGTCTTGAGGAAGGGGAGCCCCAGGGCCAGCTCAGCTCAAGTATGGTTTGGTCCCTTTCTATTCCTACCTGTTAAAGAGAAAATGATTCTACCATTTGTTAAAAGAGTAAGGAAGACTTTATCCAAGACTATTGCAATAGGGGCACTACAATAGGGACGAAAGATCAGGCTCAACTCCTAACACAGCAAAGATGGCTGAAGGCTTCTTGTCAATGAGCAGAGTGAGGGAGTTGATGGATGGCAAATTACCAAGAGAAGACATCAAGGGCAGGGGGGTTCTTGCTGAAGGCAAGCTAGGGTGATCAGATATCAAGGATGGGAGATGAGGAATTTGATCAGATAACAAGGTTTATGAGATACTAAGGGTGGAGAATTCTCTCCAAACTGACTTAGCAGGATTCCTGCTAAGACTGGGCAATGCAGGCCCAGCAAGGACAGGATGGACATGGAAGTCAAGGCCTAGTCAAGGAGAGGGCTTGGGGGAGACTAACTAAAGTTTGGTCCTTATCACCCCTGTGATGTCCTGTTTGTCCTCTTTGATCACAGCTAAGTGTCCAGCTCAGCATCCTCCATGCCCACTCCAATCTGGCCTTAGGGAGGCCTCCCTTCCCTTTGCTCTGGGGCAGTAGGACCCCGCTCATTCATTCAGTACCCAGTTGCTGAGCGCCTCCCCAGTGCCAAGCCCTGTGCCAGGGACCACAGAGTGGTTCGACTCTCACCTTTGGGAGCCACAGCCCTGGCCTCAGAATTAGCAGTTGGAGTGTCCAGAGAGACATGGGTTGGCTGCATCTTCCTTCTTGTGTTGGTGTCTTAGTGCCACAATTTTGCCAGAGATCCACTCCTATAGAAATGAGTGTTCATTTTCTTGAGTCAACAGAGTGAGTGTCATCTCCCCCTAGAGTTGATGAGACTGAGACAGACAGGTAGGGTATTCATGGTGTTAGAACCCAGCTGTGTTCCTTCCATCTGTAGCTAGATTCACTCAGAAATTAAAAGTATAGTGTCTCGGCAAACTCTGACCTCCATTACCCTCTGGGGAGAGCCCCACTAGAATGTGGGGGGCCAGAGCGAAGGCCTGTCAGAGACCATCGGACTTTCAGGGTGTGAAGGCCCAGAGCCTACAGGACTTAGCCCAGAGCTGACACTCAGCAGTACCTAAGAAATGTTTGCTCGACGAATATTGGGTGATTCTCTTTGGGACACACCAAATTTGAGGCAGAGCCTTAGTTGGAAAGTCTCTACACATTCTGTCCCTGCTGTGGCACCACCCTTCCAAGATTGGCTTTTTTGTACTCAGATGACTCAGGGGCAAATCCCTGCCCTAACATGGACTCACTGTGGCAAAACTTGGTGAGTTACCAAACGTAGCTGGGCCTCGGCTTCCTCCTCTATAGAAAGTAGACAATAATACCCACCTCACCGGGTTGTTGCAGGTGTCAAATGAGACACTAGAGCTCAGTCCCTGAGTTCAGTGTCTGGCACATAGTAGGAGCTCTTTAAATGCTAACCCACCTTTCCCCACCAGGGGACGATGTCAGCCTGGGATTGCCTGTCTTAGGCAGAGATTGGGACTGTAAGAAATGGTACAAGTGGGCCTTGAATTTAAGTAAACCCAATATATACTTAATTAGATTTATAGAAGGGTAGAACAAAGGTGGGGTGATTATTTAGCGAGATCCTCTAGAGCATTTAAGAGAAAATCTGATTACAAAAATTTAATTTACACACAACTTTTCCAGTTTGGTATACCCTGAAAAGACCCAATTAGATTAGAAGGAAAAAATTGATTTAATGAACACTAAAACCCATCCAAAAGTGGCAATCACTTGTCGATGAAACAGGTTTCTTTGATTGTGACCCAGGGTGCCATCCAATTCAGCCTGATTTCCTATGAAATGTGATTATTTTTATCCTCAAGTAGAGTTGGACAGCATCTCGTGCTTCAAAGGATGGAGGCCCTGCGGGGTGGTTGGGGACACGTCTCCCTGCTCTCTAGGAGCTATTTGGTCTTTAAGTGACCCTGGGTTTTTCTCTGGTTTCTAGCTTGTGCCTGGGGCCACCCAAAGCCACTGGACCAGAGAGAGGATGTGAGAAACTGTTCAATCAGCCCTCCGGTGAGGCCCTGCCTCCGCCCTGCCCAGCCCCACCCCCATCCCTACCCCATTGCTCCCACCTTCCTCTCCATCACCCATGCACTCGGCTGCTAACCTCTGCCTCTACCAGCCTTCCTCCTGATTTCCGGACTCTGGGGCCACTGTTTCTGATTAACCTCCCTCAGGACGAGCAGCACATTCTCAGGTGTCTGACATCCGCCCCCATCCCTCCCTCCCACCCATTCCCACGGCAGATTATCACCCCCCCACCCCCAACCCCCCAACCCCTGCCCCGGCCTGGGGCTGGGCAGCTGGCCTGAAGGCAGGAGGCCCCTTGCTGGCCTTTAGCTGAACCTGGGCAGAGACCAGGAGGAGGATGGAAGGAAAGCAAACAAAAATTCTAGAGGAACAGGGAAGAGGGAGGCACTGAAGGGAAGAGGGTGGAAGACAGAGGGCTAGAAGAGCCAGCTGAAGGTCAAGAGAGGGAGGCCTGGCATGTGAAGATTGGGAGAAGACCTGGCATATCGAAACGGGAAGCTCGCCGGCTCCCTAGCTGGAGACCAGAGTGATTCTTTCCACAACCAGCTTTGAGTGCAGAAGAGCTTCCCTGGGCCGGAGCAGGCCAGAAGGTGGGAGCTCGGGGGCCTGCCAGCAGGTCAGTAAAGTCTCAGGACAAATGGGATACACCTACCTGTGTTATCAACTTTATGAGACCACTGGGGCAGGCAGGTAGGTGGGCAAAGCACCTGACTTTTCTATGAAAACTAACCTGGATCTATCATTGAGTAGAAGGCAGAACAAAACAAAAACTCCATGCTTTTTAAGATAAAATCATCTTTAACAAAATGTCTGGCTTAGAGAGGATCTTTCTGGACAATGTCCCAAATTGCTGGGGGTACTCATTCACTCTTCTCGGCCACTTGGGACCAATGAGTGGAAACTTGAAACAAGTCCCCAAGGTAGGGCTGCCAGATGACCTACAGGGCGTCCAGTTACATCTAAATTTCAGAGAATGGATAGTTTTAGTATAAGTATGACCCAAGTAGTGCATGGGACATACTTACACTAAAACATTATTCATTGTTTACCTGGAATTCTGATGTGACTGGCTGGGAACCCTGTATTTTGAGTTGCTAAATTGGCAACTCTACCTCAAGGTATCCAAAGAAGGCCCATCCCTTGGCCTGGCCCAGCACCAGGGCTCAGACCCCGCAGTTCTCGCCCACCTCTGACTCCAGACTCAGACTCAGGTCCCATTACTGTCGCAAAAAGTCCCTCTCCAAGCTCTTAAACACCTCCGTCTCCACTCAGCCCAGACACCTTAATCTAGACTAACCCATGACATCAGCTGCTGCCCCATCCCTCTCCGGGCTGATCCAGCCTACCCACCCCCAACCCCTGCCTAAGGAGAGTCTGGTGGCTCCTCTGGAGGCTGGGGGCCCTGGTATCATTTTCTCTAAGCAAAGTGTGTGTGTGTGTGTGTGTGTGTGTGTGTCTTGGTGTCTTCCTGTCACCTGTCAGTACCTTCCAGTTACTGCGGTCAATACCACAGCACAGCTCACAGCCCTGCGCCAGCAGATGCATACACAGAATCTCTCTGCATACATCATCCCTGATACGGATGCCCACATGGTAAGGGACAGCTCCTCCCCGCGCCACCCAGCCCTCCCCCCTGCTACCCAGGTTGACCTAAGAGAACAGACCACAAACAGGATGCTGTTAAGACAGAAGATGGAAGACAGAGGAAGGATTTGACAGGCAAAGGGAAGTAAGTAGGAAGCTTGGACACGAGTGTTTCAGGGCAACTGAGAGAATGTATCCCTTTACATAGGAGAGCAGACATGGCCAATTCTCCTTGACCTCAGGCAATGAAACTATAAACAACCTCAGAATGATTTTGATCAATTCCTAGATGGCAGATCAGAATGAATGTTTAGGACACCCCTGCCCTAGGAGGTTGGAATGTGGGCTGAGAATTGAATTAGAAGGACCCTGAGCTTCCTTCTGGCTCAACCCTTCCCATCACCTGGTGGATGGAGCGCTGAAATTATCCAGAGTCCAAGACTCCATGAGTTTGGGGTGTAGGCTGGTAGTAGGGGGTGCTGACAAGAAAGAAGGTGGTCTGAACCAGAACTACTATTCCCAAAGCAGCACCTCTGCCCACCCATCCCACCCATCCCACCCTTTTCCATCCTAGCTCCACCTCCACCCCACCCACCTTCACAATACCAGCCCAGTTGGAAGAGAAGGCATTTTCAATGTCAAGCAGATTACTTGAATTAGTTTTCCCACCTGCTGAAAAGGCCTGAGAAGCTTGGGTAAGTGCCTGAACTTCTCTGAGCCTCAGTTTCCTCTACTGCAAAATGCGAATAATGAGATCTATCTTCAAGGATTATGAGAACCAAAATACAATAATGTGTAGAGCTCTCTGCAGAAGGTATTTATGATGTACCCATTATATTGTGCTAGACTGGGGGCGGAGGTGGACAACTGGAGGGGAGAACCCAAAGGAATCAAAAGACATGATCCCAGACTGCACAGAATTTGCATCCTGGCCAGGGAGACAAGACTTCTTTGCAGAAAAGTCCAGTGCTGGACTATGGGGTTTAGACGCCAAGAAAAACAGTTGTTCAAAGGAAGGGAAGATCCTGAGAGTTGGGAGAGTTCCAGGGAGCTTCCCGGAAGAAGTGCCCAGTGTGCTTGGGCTTGTAGGACTGGTTGAACCTGACTAGACAGAAAGAACTGGGATGTGGTTGGGGGGCCTTCCATGAGGGGTGTAACTCCATAAAGAAGGCTAACGATGGTGTTGTTGATTTCCTAGAGCGAGTATATCAGCAAATGTGACCAGAGGCGTGCGTGGATGACGGGCTTCACAGGGTCTGCAGGTGACAGCCATTACCCGGCCCCCACTGCTTCTGTTGGAAGACCCAGAGTGGTCATAGAAGCCCTGGTGTGGCTAGTTCTCAGCAGCCAGGACCTAGTGTCCAGAGGCCCCTACTGTTCCATCTGCCTCCCCTCCACCACTCCAAAAAGGGTCACCATGGCCCACGGCTCATAGCCCACCAGCCACACTTCTGCATGAGGCAGATGCCCCCTGACTTCTTTTCCATGCTTGCGGCCTCTGCACAGCCAGGCCCAGCCTGGGCTCCATTTCTGGGGCAGTTACTACCTCTCTATCTAACCACTAGGAGCCCACTGATCCCCTTCACACAATGGCACTTTTGGGGACAAAGTTTTGCTTTGCTGGTCCTTTTATAGACAACATCACCTCACAAGGCCAAATGAGATACAAACATAGAGGTCCTTTATGGGGTCCCAGTTGCAGAAGGGGCCTCCTACCCTGATCCTGGCCCCTTGGATGAAAACTAAGCATTACTTGCTGATCCTTAAACATCCCTCCCCTGGGCTTCAGGCTGCCTTGCTTGCCTGTCACAAGCCATTCTCTTTGCTAAAGCCACTGGGTTTGGCTTCCCTGCCTGTCCTCAGTTAAGCCCTCTGCATAGTGTCCCCATCAGCCACTGTATCTTGATACTGACTGCCACACCTTCTTTCCTGAGAGCACCTAGACATAGCATGGGCTTTTTTTGGATTGCCAAAAGCAGACCCCACTCGTCCTGCTAAATGCATCCTTAGGAGAGGCCCTCGACGCAAAGCAGTCATGCCCAACCCAGGACACCCTTCCAGCTAGCTTCCCCCAACACTCTCTTTAACATCTCTTGCCTCACTCCTTTCCAACGGAGGAGAGAAACTCTTTCCAGAGGCCCCTTGTGACATTCTCAGAGCCAGCACCGCATCACACAGTCGCTAAATAAAGCCACCCTTTAGGGGGAACCTTCCCCCTCCCCTCCAAGTTTCTCTGCTCTGCCCCAGGAATTGCGGTAGTGACCATGGGGAAAGCAGCTCTCTGGACCGACAGCCGCTACTGGACCCAGGCTGAGCGGCAGATGGACTGCAATTGGGAGCTCCATAAGGAAGGTAAAGCGATGGCTTGGATTTGTTCCCCAAGCCCTGGAACTGGACTGGGTTCAGGAAGGTAGAGGTGAGGGGGTACCTGCAAGGCTGTGCTGGGCCCCTGGAGAAAGCTCAGGAAATTTGAAGCCATCCCTAAACTTTGCAGATGATATCAAGGAGGACAGACATAGCAGAACTGTCACAGACAGAAGCCCGGCTGGAGGGCCTGGGGTTGGCCCTGGAGATGACCTCAATGTCTCTTCCTGTCCTTCTCTCAGTTGGCACCACTCCCATTGTCACCTGGCTCCTCGCTGAGATTCCTGTTGGAGGGCATGTAGGCTTCGATCCCTTCCTCTTTTCCATCGGTATGTTCTTCCCTCATCCCTGGGCTTGTCCACACCAGCTCGGGTGACTCAGCCCCCCGGGGAAGTAAAGAAGCACACCTTGGTAGACGGAAGCAGGGTGACTCAAAGATCGAATATTTGAACTTGTGGTTGCAGAATATTTTGCAACAAAGATGTATTCCTGGATTGCATCTTGAAAATATATTTAAAAGAATAAATATAGATTTCTTTTAAAGTCAGGAATGCAGAGACCCAACCCAGAAGACTCAGGGAATCATTAAGACCTAGCAGACGAGTAGGCCAGGATGTTCTTAAACCCAGAGCCAACCTCTGTGCTCTGGAATTCTACCAATTAGGGCACTAGGATCTTCTGGAAAGAGTTTGGAAGGGTCAAAGGAGTCAAGAGGGCTTCTGGGTAAAGCAGCACCGTCCCCTCCAACTCCAGGAACACAGTGCCCTGAGCTCTGATGCCCCAGTTAGCTGGCCAATCTGCCCCCAGGGGTGACGTGCTCATGAATAGATCCTGAAAGGCTCCCGCTTCAGAACTGACTTCTTTGCCAGCCTTTCCAGTGGCCTGAGTCTCCCATTCCTTTGGGCTGTGGCACTGAAGCTCAGTTAAATGGACAGTGTCAGAAGGAGGGCCCCACAGTTATCAGCACTTAAAAAGACGAGCTTAGACAACTGGTGATGGACAGCATTGGGTGGGCTCAGGGCAGTTAGGCTTTGAAAGCTGAAAGAGGAAGGTGAGAGGACACAGCCCAGGAGGGCCAGTCTGCTAGGACTGGCCCTGGCAGCTGGGCTGCAGGTGCAGAATGGGAGGCCAAGGGGACAAGAACTCACTTTGCCTTGGTCACAATTTTTTCTGAGGTATGAACAGGCAGGGGACAAGTGATTCCTTCCTGTCTCTGCAGACTCCTGGGAGAGTTATGACGCAGCCCTCCGAGAGTCTGACAGAGAGCTGGTGTCCATCACCATCAACCTTGTGGACCTGGTGTGGGGGTCAGAGAGGCCCGCAGTGCCAAGCGAGCCCGTTTATGCCCTGCAGGAGGCATTCACAGGTGATTTCCCAAGTTGGAGCCACACGGGGTCCCCGCTGCTGCTCCTCTGGCCGAAAAATTCATCCTAACAGGTCCCAAAGCAATGGTTCTCAAAACTTCTCAAAACTTCACGTGCACCTGAATAGCTTGGGATGCTTGTTTAAAATATAGGTTTCTAGGCCCCCTCCCCTCAAAGAGTTTGAATCAGAAGTTCCTCAGACCATATTTAGAAATTGCTGGAATAAAGAGTGTCAGGATT